AGGTGGTGGAGGGAGTGATTTGCCACCTGAATGACTGGGAACTTTTAAAGTGAGGAAATTGAACTGTCCTGAGTCTAAGAGGAACTTAGAGGAGACCAAGAAGAGTATTGCGCTGGCTAAAAATATTTCGGTAGTGATGGAAATGCGAGGCGAGGTATGAATGATAAAGGCAATAGAAACAGGTTGTTAGTGATAACATAGCATTTTCTTGTGAAATGGTTAGCTTGTAGAATGAAAGACAGTGCAAGTGTTAGCGGCCCTCAGATACGGAACAATCGTCACACCAAGCACCTCAAAAACTCCCCCAAGCTAAGTGTTATATTACTCAACCTCTTTATTTTGATGATTGAATAGCAATTCTTTTTATTTCAGCGAACAAAAAGTGTTAGGCAGGGCTTCAAGGGAAAAAAATGGGTGAAATTCTTGTGGCGGCGGCACCAATAAACCCCTTTTTACATGTATTTTAATGTCACACAAATAACGTTTTCGCTAATAATGGTGTTTTTCAGGCACCTATTAAACGTTATTGGTGAGAGCCTACTGTATATTGTTTTTTTCTCACACATTATGAAAGGTGTAATGAAGAATATTACGTGCTGGTATATCTACCAGATATTAAAAGTTGAAAAATAACCATAACATAACTTTGGCATCCTTCGCTCTCTCACACTGGTTCCGTGAACATCTCCCAGGCGTTTGAGCTGGTTAAGTTTTTCTTTATTGGTGAATTTGACTACACTCATGGCCCCTAAGAAGAAAATTAGTGCCAATACTCATGGTGGTGAGAAAAAAATAAAAACATACTGTGAGAATTTCTGAAGTCAAGATATAGGACTTACTAAGGGGTGGCATATCAGACTCTGATGTTGCGCCTTGATTACTTTAGTATAAAAAGGAGTTATACAGGAGGGACGCGAATTACGCACTTAAGCAGGATCCCTGGAATGTAACCCTCGTGTATTCAGAGACCCTACTGTAATCAAGAAAATATTTACCACTTAAAATAATGTTCAGTTAACCCTCACTTTACGCGGTTAATGTAACCCGGAGGGTACCGCGGAAAGTGAGGAACGCGTAAAGTGAATAACATAACATATGGGATTAATTGAAATAGAGTCCAGGCCGACCCCCAAACTCCACTTTTTGACGACACACAACTATGTTGTAGTAAAAATATTATCTTAACTTTATGATGGCATGCACACACAATTAATAATTAAGAGAAATATCAATAATATTAGGTTTTTTAACACTTACATTAGTAGAAAAGATGGCTGGGCACACGGGGATGGGCGGTTGGTTCCAAGGCAGAGGGCAGATTATTGGCCCTCACCTGTATCACTTGTATCAATTGTATCACTATCCACCACAGAGGCTTGCAGGGCCTCTTTGTCAAACCCCCCAAAGTTCATATAAGTCCATATCCTCACTATAATTATCACTATCACTGACTTGGGCCGGCTGTAGTGGGTGGCGGGTGAAGAACTGGTAATGTTTTGATGACTGGGCGACCTTGTGCGCACCATTTTCGCGCCTCTTACACAACATGGCGGATGGCGGGAGGTTTGGATCCAAAAATGGCGCGGCTTGCCAGCCGCTCTCCGCGTAATGGGGTACACGCACCGCGGAATGTGAGCATGTTAGGTTCCGGCAGGGCACCGCGTTAACGGTGAACCGCAGAATGCGGGACCGCGTAATGTGACGGTTGACTGTATAACAAAAAGACTTCCTCAAGTTTTGCTTATAGGTTTTTCTTTCCTTCTCGTTCATTTATTACACACACCCTCGGTAGTCACATATGCCATAATCTTAGTCATCAGTGAACATTTTGCACATTACGTGCACTACTCACACATAAGCATCCTCAACCCCATGCAAACAAGTCATGTTAAGTTATCAGTAGTTATTTTGCAAGTCATTGTACAGGAAGTATCAGAGGTCTGTATCCAAAGAAGAATTCAGTTTCAGCTTTTATTATAGTAAATATTCAAATTTTAAGTAATTAACTCTTGTCTACTTTTTCATGAGGTAATTATTTTCTGAAATATAAAAAATATTAACCACATATCCAATGGATACAGACTTCTGATTCACCCTGTACAATAAATACAGGAGCTTCCTTGCTTCATAATATTTACCTCTTAACTTGTGCTTAAGAATAACAAATGTTATTTTATTTTTTTCAGCAATTTAAAATAATAAAAAAAAAATTTTAGCAACAAGACCATTCAAGCTATGACACAATGCAGGATTGCAATTGACTCAGTACCTGTATCGCTAATCCACATACATTACTGTACAGTATTAAAGAGAACCGAGTGCAGTGTGTGGAATAAACGTAATAATTTCTGACGGGGCATAAGTTATGGACATGCCAGTATAGATACAGCATAAGTATAAACAAATGAGTATAGATACCACAGTACAGTATAGCACTCACTGATTATGATTAGGGAGTAAAAAATAAAACTGAAGGCCAATAGAGAAATAAAATGAGCAGTGAAGGATTGTATCACATACTTTGTGTGTCACTTCATTATTAAGTACATACTGTACAACTTTCCTGAAGACACTGAACATTTGTCGGCAAGCAACAATACATAACTGCATGATATTTACAAGTTATAAGATAGTTTTCATAAACAAAATATCAAAGATAAAGTAAATATTTAGCAATATTGTAAATACTTTTCACTTATTTTACAAGGCATTACCATATTTATTGCTATAACATACAAAACCCTTTCCCATAGCAAAAACAACACTGAGGCAATCAACAAACTCTTAATTGAAAGCATAACTCCAGTTCTCATTCCATGAAGTGACACCTAGTGAACTGCTATAAAGCCTCCCAACACAAAATACGAACAATGATAGTCCCCATCTTTTGTGGAATTATAACTTGACCCAAATAATGAAACACTTGTACACTTAAGTGTTCAAATCCATAGAACTCATTGATGGCAGGAAAACTCTTATTGAACAAAACATTCTTTTCATTATTACAATTTATAATATACTGTAAACTGTATATTGAAAAATATAGTACCTGTACTGTAATGCACATATTTCTTTTTTCATCAAACATCTGGTGAAATAAATCTTATTTTGTAAAAGTTAAACCATATATATATATATATATATATATATATATATATATATATATATATATATATATATATATATATATATATATATATATATATATATATATATATATATATATATATGCCAAAAATTTATATAACCATCATTAAATCTTCAGTTACAAAACAGATGAAACAAAACAACAAGAGCACTGACTGGATGCTCTAAGTCCTGTTATAACTTGAGCTTCTTTTTAATGTCAAGGCAGAAATTTATGTACGCGCCATCTGCAAGCTTCTTTTTAATGTTTTGCTGAGCTTCATCAAACAGAGTCACACCTTCTAGTCCCTCTTCTTCTAACTTGTCCCCTATTTCTACACTTTCACTACCACCTCCAACTTCCTTATCTGCTCCCACCTGTAAAAGAAGTGATCGGTGAGCAGCTTCCTGCAAAAAACAAATAAAATAAAACAAAGACTCAACATAATAAATTAAATATTAAACTAAATTAACATAAGTCAAATAACAATGTGTAAAAAAAGAATGGTGAAAAACAATAAGAAAAATTAATAAACTACTGGAAAATATAAAATGGTGTAGAGTAAACTTCACACAGAGAGGATGGCAAAGACACATAATGAGGGCATAGTTTTTTTTTTCGTGGTAATACCAGAGGTAAAGTTTAAAAGACAAGGAGTCAGATGAGCGGGGGTTAGAATTTAAGCTTCCTGAGATTTTAAGTGGAAATTTCAGGAGCTAAATTATGGAATGCTTCATAACCTAAGTCAACAGATAGGCAATGGTGATAAAACAAAGAATTCAAATATACAGTGTAATAAATAAACTATATAAAAATAATATAACATACAGTACAACTAAAAACTACAGTCACCATTGATAATTTGTATTTGGGATGCTTTTAACAAAATCTATACTATAATGAAATTTACCATGCTGGTAAAGTCTTTGACTTTGTAGTGTTTCGAGCACTAGCGAATTCTTAAGAAGCACTGGCACTTTTGAGAAACGAAAGAGCAGCTATTATTAAAATTATTATCATTATCATCACTGAACTATTTGGTATAGTGCAATGCTTGAAGGTTGAATCAAGTACGGTATGTGTACAGTATTATATTTTACAACATACGTAACAACACTTCATCATGTAATACCCTAGATGGGCAGTCTTTGGCATAGGTATTGTCTGTGCAACATAATGAAATAAGTGAACAAGGCATGATATTAAGCTTTCTGTTAAGGCAAAGATGACAGAAAAAAGTGATCCTTAGGCTTCTTGCCTACACATACAACCCAGTGACAAGATTACTATATATGCTCTTGTAAATGTTTAGGTTTGTGACATCAAAGAAGCTTCTTAACTTCTTCAAAAGTTATGAAGCAGTCATGTTTTTGACCAGTAACCCTAAAACATGACCTTGAACATCATGATCAGGAACTGGGAAATGTTTCCAGCCCATTTGGTAGATGAAATTAATGTTTCTAGTAATCATTATCAAAATCCCTTCACTGGGTCAACTGAGCAGCCTGCCTCAAGAATGTTTGCTAATGCTTTTAAACTGGAGAGATTTTGCATTAGATAAATAGGGCACAAATCAAAAAACTTAGTAACCAAGTGCATTATCCTTGATAATTCAACAAAGTGTAACAACAATTAGTCACCAAGCATTATGCATTGTTACTATAATGTACTGTAGATGCATTTTTCAAAGGAATATAACAAAAATGATCAATAGACTATTTACAATAAAATTATAAGCTAACAAAATTTTCATACACAAATCACACATCGGAGGTTATTTATTATAGCTTAGAAACAACAAATTATCTCTTATAAAAGACTGGCGCAATGAAAGTGAATGATCTACAGAGGACAGAGTCATTTGCATAAGTGTGAACAGGTTTGTTTGTCACAGAAAGATCATTAATATGCAATAAGAATAGTGTTGGTAGAACCCTGAGAAACTCCAGCATTGATGAAATGATAGACTGAGAAAAAATTGTCCAAAACAACATGCACTCTGTGAGCAGAGAGAAAAAAAAAAGGAAAGGCCATAGGGCAATTTTACAAGTAAGGATAAATGACCATGATGGTCAAGCTCTAGGAGCAGCCATCGGATACATAGTAGTCCCTAGGTTCAGCCAGATGGATTAAATAAATAAATAAGCAAAATAAATTAATTAATGAATAAATACAGGTAGGTGGGGAAGTAGTGACCCCCGTCTTGCCGGCTAAGAGGACACTTAAAAATCCTACTTGTAATGTTTCATTCCCACTCTGTAAAAGTGGGCTGTTCATGGGAATTTGCTTCAAATTTGCTTGCCAGCGACCAAGACACCATGCTATTGGGTAAATCACAGTTAACCCTCGCAAGCATGGAAAATGGCTGTAAAACAGTGATAATGATAATCGATGCCATACTCTGTCACCACTGCTATCTATTGGTTGGTGGAGTGAGTGATTAAAGAGGATCAGCAGCAGAGAGCACCAATGAAACCTATACAGTCATGGAAAGTGAGTGCAATGATCCCCCATATCTGACAACAAAATCAGAACCAGAGTCTTGTTTTCAATGATAATTCCCAATTTGGAAAAAAAAAATGGTACAGCATGCCCTTACAATTTGTGGATTTTTAATTCACAGCCTTTGATTATTCACAAATGACACCCTGGATGTACCCAAGAATTTCCGCGGGTAGTTTTAAAGTTGGCAGCATTTTCGCGGCAGGATGGGAGCCCGCGAGTTTTATGGCTAGGCCATGTGCACTCAGTCCAGGTTAAATACTTGTCCATTTTGCGCATGTGCTACTCTGCTCTCTTAACAACTGTGCTCCTGGTGCTTGTGATGGGTCCCAAATGCCCTCAACCACCCTTCATCCAGCCGCGGGAAGGTGCCCAAATAAGTGAAGAGAGAAAAGTTCATGTATTTCTCCCATACGTACGCCTGGCAACAGGAGCTGGTAAGGGTAGTGAGTGACTGCTAGTCAGCAAGTCGTCTGCAGTTGAAACTCTCCTCACTCCCTGCCATATTTTACTGGACTTACTGTTACTGTTTTATTAATGTTTACTGACAGTATAGTGTTTAATAGTGATTAATCATGGCATTGTAGCTAGGTTAGTTCGTCATTGTAACCACCAGGCTACTGGGCCAAGCTGTGAGGTGCTGTGTCTTTTTTCAACTATTTTTTTGGGTAGATATACATAACTTTCTTCATTTATTTTTACTTGGTTACATGCACACCAACCTAAGTACATATTGTGAATAAATGTAAAAGAAATAAGTGTCCTAAGAGCAAACACATAATGGGAGGAGAGTGTAGCTAGTGGGGAGCATTGCTAGGGAATTTGCATCCCAGCTGATCTTCGTTACTATGGTGGAGCAGGGAGTATATGCAAATGGCGACTGTGTTAAACTTTCATTTGGCTTTTATTTACTGGTATGACATGAGTATTTTTTTTAACTTATTTATCAGTATTTGTATTTATTCCTCACATTTCCTGGTACTGTACAGTAAACCCTTGTTATTCGCAGGGGTTAGGTTCCAAGGAATAGCACGAATAGGCAAAACCGCAAATAGCAACTTATACTACCTTAGTGCACTACTATATACCTATACCAAACAAATGACTAGCCATGGCAGCAATCATCCCCTCTTTTAACTTATCTAATAATTCAACTTTCTTTGTAAGGGTCATCAATGACTTCTGCCTTTTACTCCACTAGCATCACTAGCACTGACACTAGGCAGTCTTTTAGGGGCTATTTCACACAGAAACACTAAAGTTTTGAGAGTACAATATGAGATGCTGTGTCACAGGCAATGGTTGAGCGCAAACAGGGGGAGAGGAGACGTTGCGGCTTCGTGGGGTGATACATTGCACTGCAGGCTCGCAAGCTAGCCACCATATGCTGACCGCGAATCATATAAATCACGAATCGCAAACCCACCAATGGCAAGGGTCTACTATATATATTATTTTAAGAAAACTATGGCTGTGAGGTGTTATGGTTGTTTTTCCAACTCATATTTTCGAGTAGATATACGTACAGTAGAAGTCCAAAAACCCGGACTGCTTGGGGATTGGGTCGGTCCGGATTTTCGGATTTTCCGGATTCTCAGGCAGTACTTTTAAAATTAAAATTTAACGAGGAATAAAGAAGAGATGAACAGGTACATTTTGATAGTTTATTCATTAGCAAATAACGCATGCTTCATTTATCAAAATGAGCAGTTTTAAAGAAAAATAAAGTCGAACACTAGACAAAAATGTAAACAAACTGTCTGATACCATGACGAGTCTTGAAATTCCTAAGCCATCCATCACTAAATGCGCACTCTGATTCAATGTTCATTTGCTCCTTAAAAGACTTTGCTTTGGCAATAAGCATCGGCCCAGAAATTGCCATACCTTCTGATCGTTTTAACAAAAACCATTCGTGCAACACTTTATCAAGATTTTCTAATTTGGGCCAATGTAAACTTTTTCTTTCAGCAATTTTAATGTAAGGCTCAGAAGAAGCTGTGAATTCTAGAATTTTATTCTTTGCCTTTTTTATATCATAAATTGTAGACTTTCCAATGTTGTATGTTTCCATTAGAACAGCATTGCTCACATTACATTCTAGTTTCTTAATTATTTCGTTTGTCACTCAATTTCAATGTGTTCGTCTTTCTCTTCACACAACGAAGTTTATCTACTTTAGGGGCCATTATTATGGGCTTGTACTCTGTACATGGAAAGAGTAGGACTCAAAATTACATACGTTGTCACAGTTTGATTGCTTGTTTTAAAGTGGCGATCGTGTGGTCGTTTGTTGTCGCTGTGCAGCTGTGGCATTCACGCATGCACACAGACACACAAAAGATTTATAGTGCCTCAAATTTTACATTTCAGTTCAAGCTAATTACAAAACTAACAAATTTAGCTACCTATAATTTACAATTACTTTTATTATTAGAATTATGTAAATTAATTTTTTAAAGCAACTCCATTCATTCACATAACCCACAAAAGCCCGCTAAATTTAAAAAGTTTGAGTTTTCGAAAAGTCCGGATTCTCGGGTGGTCCTGATTCCTGGCATCCGGATTTTTGGGCTTTTACTGTAACTTTCTTCGTTAAATTTTACTCGGTTACATGCACACACCATCCTACATACATATTCTGAGAAAAGTACAGTATTACACTGCAATTACCCACATCTTTCACGTTGAGTTGGCTAGATGGCTACGAGAGAAATTCTGTGTTTGATCTACATAACCCAGCTGGCACTCGGATGCCATTCATTCTAGAGACAGTAAATTTTACGAGGAAAAAATTGCAACGCAACCAACCCAACTTTAATAACAAAGCATGGAGTTAACCTGAAGGTAGACTCTCCCATTTTTTCTACATTTCAATGCATTTTGTTGTCTTGATTTTGATTAT